GTTTAGCCATCCTCCTCTTCCTGGGTGGCGTTACGGCATCTGTGGGCTTCCTGGTCTCGCGCCCGGGCACCCGGAATGGCACCCGGAATCGCCTGGGAGGACCTCCGAAGGTACAAAAAGTATAGATGAATTATAGACTAATTATATAGATGTTCAAAAAATAGATTAGAAAAATTGTATACATATATATATATATATATATTTATATATATATTATATATTATATATATATTATATTATATATATGAAGTATCGATGACTTAGTCAATCTTAAAAATGATGATTTTCCTAGAGCGAACTGTTAAAATTACGAGGGGATAGGTTTTTTTCGAGCAACTCTTAGGTGAGGCCAGCTAAGTTGACATAGCTTGGTGAATTCTGTGGTTTTTGTTATGAGGGCTGTAGCTGTAGTCAATGATTGATTTATAAACCAACTTGCAACTATGGGTCTCACCTTGATGGTGGATCCAAATTCTAAGACATGTCGGTGAAAGTCATGGCTGTATCACTTTGAGCAGCGTCAAAACCTTGGTGGAAGCCAAACATAAGGGCTGGTGGGGGATTCCCATAGGGAAGTTTCATGTGCATTGGTGCTGTTTCAGAACCAAAGACATCACCATAGTTTTGTCCGCCATGGGAAACCCCGCAGATGAACGAACTATGTGTACCTTGCAGGAAGAGATTGGTCGATAGGTCAAAAAGACTCACAGGGGATCAACGAAGCCGCAGAGGCAGCAGTGGTGGACTCCTGCAACCGAATACTGACATGTTCGCAGCGGAATGTTTTTTCAGTATGTTTCAGTGACGCAACAACAAATCATAGACGACAACAACAACAACAACGATGATGAAAATCAACGAAGAAAAGGTCGCCTTGCTCCCTATGATCAACCAATTGGGGCAAACCTGAAGCTGCTGAGGTGGTAAAAATTTCTTCGCTGCGTTGGGTTTCTGCGTTTTGTTGAAAATACATCCTAAAACACGCGGGAAAAATATGGGATCTATTTATTTTAGGACCCATATTTCAGGTGGTATTCAAATGTATTTAATATTAGGGGGTTGTGAATCATAGTGAAATCAACATCAATCCGTTTTGGGACAACAAAAAAAAACACCTGGCTGTGGACCAAATCCCGTGGCGCACCTGGGTGGGGCATTTAAGGATGTCGATGTCAAAAAAACAAAAAGTAGTTGGTGGTTTCAAACATGGCTTTTATGTTCCATAATATATGGGATGTCATCCTTCCCATTGATTAATATTTTTCAAGATGGTTAAAGCCCACCAACCGTGGCGAGTATGAAGTTGGAGCCTATCCCATTTTTTGGCTCAGTTGTGAGGAGTTATCTCCTCACTTTTTCACCATGAAGAAGGGGTTGTGCTCACTAACCACCAATCCGACCCCTTCCACCATCGACCCAGTGAAATGTGCCAAGACCTGCTCTGGCCGAGGGAGAGAGTTCCTGCGATTTGTGGACGGTTTAGCACCACCGTGGCCCAGCTTAGAGTGGACCAGCGGTGTCGGCTGCTGTTTTAGGCCGGTGAGGCCCCCTAGATAGCGAAGAGTTGACATATAACTCATGTCAACCCTGGATGAATAAACCCCGTTTACGGCTGTTTAATTGGAAGGGTACCATTAAAAAAAAATATTAGATGAAATGACTCTTGGAGGAGTACCCCCCTAATTTTCATAAACCATGGTTTAGCAAAATCCGGGGTTGACATTAGGTTAACGTGTGGGTTTATTGCGGATATCACCTCGAGATACCGACTGTACTTAACAGGATTTACAAAACAAATTTCAACTAGAGGGCCTCGCCTTGTATTGGGACAGTGGTCTAAAAATCATACATCATGGGGATATGGGGTGGGATACACTTGGATCTACAACCAACTAATATTATATTGCATTATTATTATTAGCATTATCATTATCATTATTATTATATATTATTACTATTAGTAGTTTTATTATTATATCTATGTGCTTGTTTAATTATGTATCTATTGATTTAGTATTATTACTATTACTATATATATATATACATATCCAGCAATATGAGCTGACTTTGTCTCCAAATGAGAATTTAATGGACATACCTCAATTATTGGTATTTGTCAATGATAAATTGAACATCAACCATTGTATTTGGGGTTGCCCTATCTTTGGACAAACCCATAAAGACGCAGTGAAAAGGAAAGCTATGTATCTCAAGCACGCAGAGTGATCAGGCACACCTCAGCCACAAATCCTTGAGCCAAACAGCAGAAGCGAAGTATGATATATCTATATAATCTATCCTATAGATTTCCATATAATCTTATACATACAAATATTATAGATTAAGATGTTCGAGACCTTTCCAGCACACCAGGCTGAATTACTGTGCATATTGATATCATTCCAGACGACCAACCGCCTAATGATGTAGCCCTATAGTTTTGGTGAAGCACTGTGAACCAAACCACTGCTGGTTGATGATTGGATTGTACTACAGTACCCAATTTTTGTTGACCATAATTTCTTCATGGGAATTGCAGAATCATCAACAGCAAAAAGTGACCACGGGATTTTGAACACTGCTCAGTTTTAGGCAGTCCTAGTTTTTTAGGCACGTTCTCAATTTGCATCTTGTACCCCATTCATCTCGATTAATCCCCATTCATCTCGATTAATCCCCATTAATCTCCATTCATCCCCATTAGTCCTCAATGTTTCTCCATTTTCATGAATGACCCATTTTCATTCATCTCCATTAGTCCATTACCCTCTGGTAAACATACAAAAAACTGATGGGAAAATCACCATGCTATTAATGGGAAAATCAACTATAAATGGCCATTTTCAATAAGTTTTTGTATGTTTACCAGAGGGTAGTCTTCCCATATCATCCCATTATTCACCATGCTTAACCATAGAAAATCACCATTTATAGTGGTTAAATCACCATGTTCTTATGGTTTTCCTATGGTTTACCAGCATTTTCCTATGGAACTCCCAATTATAAATGAAGATGGCCCATGTTCATCTCAAGGCCTCGAATCACCGCCGTCATTGTGATGCTGCGTCGGGAGCGCTCCATTTGCGCCGCCGGGCTCGGCAAATTTATAGCTCTGGGATGTGGGAGCAACTGTTTTTGTTGCTCACCCTCTGGTAACCTAACATAAATATGGAAAGTCACCATGCTATTAGTGGGTAAATCAACTATACACCTTGGTTGGGAAGTCCGATGCTAATGCGTTGAAATGTTGATGTGGATGCGTTAACCCTCCCAGTAAACAATGTCCTTGTTTTGCGGTATCTAAACCATGCTGCATCATGATTGGTCAATATCTCCATGTTTGTCGGTTTTACCCCATATGATCTACCAAATTTTCTGGGAGTCGCAGAGGGTATCCATGATTCTGGGTGTTAAGACGAATGTATCTGTTTGGCAATGAAACACATGTTTTGGATGACAACCCCTAACCGTAAATTCCCGTCATAGTCGAAAATCAATGTTCTTAAAGGCCCAAATACGTTTTTTGCAAAATATGGATGTTCCTTATGTGGTTTTCCCCAGAAGTTCCTTACTTGTTTTTTCTGTTAGGAAATCCAAGTGTTTTTTCCACGGTTGGAACCCAGCCTTGGTACCGAGGCGCTCTCCTTGGGTGCTGCTGGTGGCTTGCTATGGCAGCTGCCGCAAGGTGCGAGGTTTAGGAGGGGAAGATCACGGGAAAATCACCTGCGAACGGAGGTTTACTCGGAAAATCATCTCGAATCTAAATTGGGAATTTTATAGCAAAGTATGTTTAGATACTCCACCCGATCCGGCTGGTGGTCTTCAAAGATCTTATATCTCGTCCTAGCCGGGATCTTGCTGCCAGTTCGCTAAGATTTTTTGTGAGGTTTGAAACGACCAAGCAGCCATTCTCCTAAGGTCTGTAAATCAAATGGTAAGATTAGGTCTGGATGTTTGGTTTGTTTTGGGGATTGCTACACAACTGCCAGCACAGCACCAGAAGATGCTACACATGGCCATGGAAAATCCCCTATTTGGCCGAGTTTCCCGGAAATTCATGCCCAGTTGTAGGGGGGTTCAGCTAGCCATGTATGATTGAAGGGTAGCAGCTGGTTTATACCAATTTTTGAGGGGGAAAATCAACAGATGTGAGAGGAGGATCCCTTACCCAGTTGCTTACCGGAGGATAGATGGTTGGAAAGCTGCAAACATACCTAGGAAAACTCAGTTTCAAACCATCAACCCTACCTTCAGCTACCATCACTATCACTGTGCTCACCAGAAACCATGGGTTTCGAGCCTTTCAGGTTTGCATTCTCACCGGGTGTTCTTGTGATGAACCCTTGGGAAAGCAACATCTCACATGGCCAGAAGTTTTGGGCAGCACCAGCTCCAGATGGAGCTGCCTTGGATGGCTGAAGACCTACCAGGGTGGAAAAAGGAGCCCTGGATCCTTCCTGAACTCAGTTCTATAAAGCTCCTGCCACTGGCTGCCCCTTTCTGCCTTGAGATGATGAAATGATTTCCCCAGTATCGCGCAAGTTCTTTGCGTGAAAAACAAAGGGAATCCCAACACATTTTGGTGGTAAAAGTGCCATGATTTTTGCTGTGTGCACTTTTCCCAACAAATCCAAGCCATTGTATCCACATTCATCTCCATACATCCCATTATATAAATTATAAATAATTATAACCTTAAAGGTCCCCATTGTCCATCTCACTATACCCCCATTAACAATGGTACATTTCTGTTGCCTATCTTTTTTGGTGGTTGCTATACTTTAAAACTGGCTGAATAAACCACACAAAGACCCATGATTTCCTCGACTGATTCAAACAAACAAACAAACCCCTTCACACCATAAAAATCGGAAATCACAGGGAAACAAAAGCATAGATTCCAGGCTTCATATATCTTTATATAATATTTACATATACATATACATATATATATATATATAAAAAATAGCCCATGATATCCCCTTGATCTCCACAATTGGTGCTTTGGCCAGGCATTCCCATGATGGCGCTACTGGCCAAGATGGGCGGAATGATGCCGGGTCCATAGGATGTGGACATGGTTTCACTGCGACCTCACTGCGACCGAACCCTGGAATCATGGTTTATAAGGGAAATCATCCCCAAATGGCCCAACAATTCAGGTTAGTGAAATGTTATAATTTACCCAGAATAATGGATAGTTTATAGTGGAAATCCTATTCAAACGGTTGATTTGGGGGTACTTCCATTTTAGGAAACCTCCATTTTAAATAATATTAATATTAAAGTGGGTAAAACAATGCCATACACCAGCCATTTGGAAATGGTTTATACCACCTATTTATATCCATTTCTGGTGATTTTGGGGATGGTTTATTATTGTTGTACCCACATTAGTATAGTTTTAATTCTAGGGAAAACTTATCAACCAATAGTAGAAGCATAATCCTGGATCATAATTTAGGTGAAGTGATCAACCCAAATTGATTGGTCATGAAATAGCAGGTTATACTACCTGGGTTCTTGGGGATTATGAACTAACCCATAGTAGGGACAAGTAGGTACATGTATCAACCAACTAGTATAATGGCTCATATGGATTTAATGCGTTGTTCATCAAAATTGATCGTCAAATATTAATAGAATGCTGATATTTCATGGATACAGCCCCACGCCTGGAAGTGACCACTGTGGCGGGGGAATTCCCAGGCTCCTTGGAATATCAACCATCAAAAATCCCTACGAAAAAAACCGTATCTCCAAATGGGGATTCCTAAAATGGGAGGTACCCCCAAATCATTCAGTGTTTTTGGCATGTTCCATGACATAACTTATCCATTTGATCTTTTTTTTTGTACCCCCGAAGGAAACCCCAAAATGTGCCATGGAAACCTCCCTGATGACTCCGCAGGAAGCGTCCCTTAAAATCACCTGGCTTTGAAAACGATGAGAAGTTCTGGGAAAACCCAAGCAGCTGATGGAAATTTCATGATTTTCCCATATAAACATTGCCATAAATTGGGGACATCCCTGTTTTGAGAGACATTGGATGTTTGATTGAGCCAAAACCTCCTGGCCGAATCTCGAATCTGCTCTAGGATGTTTATTTTATTGTAAGGTATTGGGAATATTAAATGGTATTAATGTTATAGATATTGATATCATATGTATAGATATTACTAATATATTGGGAAAATTAGATAGTATCAATGATGGCCATTTGAACAGCTGATATTTCAATAATACTCCATTATACTACTATATAATTCTCAGCCTTGGAAGGTTCGTAGGTTGCATATTATATGGGTGCCCTTCCTCTTTCCAAGGAATGTCTCATTTCTGTGGGGTTTTTTTGGAAGGGGCTATTTGAAGGATTTCCCAAATCGCAGCTGGTGAAAAACCCCCGTTGATCGGGTTCTGGAACCAGGACAAGGGGCTGCCACTCCTTCGCCGTCGTTTGGAGATTTCCGGTCCTGACGATGTGCAAACCTTGGAGACGGCGACATGGCATCGGCTCCATTGTTGCTAAGGCAGATCGCAGATATCGTGGCGAGGCTTTGCTTGCTTGTGTTCATGTGTTACGTACATGTATCGTACATGTATGAGAGGTGCCATCCGCCACTGTGGAAGATTGGGAGAAGATGAATCCAGAGCTTCGTTGCAATATTGACCAAAAAAGTCAGTATGCACCTTGCACAATTGAGTGGTGTAGGGTCTACTTTTGTACATGGTTGAGTTCCATTGCCATCTCAGCTACAACGACTCAGGGTCCCTCACATGGTGCAGCAATAATCCCCCTAATATCAAACCCGCCACGGATTAAGGGAATTACGCATATTTGAGACCATGAAGGATGTGTTGTATACCCTCTGGTAAACGTTTACATAACTATGGAAAATCACCAGTTTGAATTGGTAAATCAACTATTTCGACTGGGCCATGTTCAATAGCAAACTGTAAACGTTTACCAGAGGGTACTGGGGGGATAAACCTCCACCATACCATACCATACCATACACGTTTATATATATATATATTATATATATACATATACATATACATATATATATATATACATACATATATATATATACACATACATATATATATATACATATATATATACATACATATATGATCAATCATTCTAACTCCCAGAAATTGGGGAATATGGTGCTGCTATGATATCGGAATATCGCTGGGACAGCTCCTTTGATTGGCCCTGAGGCTGGGTGCCACCGCGGTGGGTCTCTTTTTCAGCACCTTTGAGGAGCTATCATTGGGAATGTGGGATCTCATGGAGACTGCCAATAGCTTTTTTAGTATGACAAACATTGGAATACATTGGAAGCCCTCGCTTCTACAGAAGCTTCGTGGGTGTTTTCGCAAGCGGGTCAGCTGGTGCAAGAAGTGCCTGTGGCGTCGCTACAAGGACGAAGCAGCGACAGACCCAAGCAGATCAGAAGAAGAGTTGTGAAGAAGCTCAGAAGAGCGGAGGTCGAGGAGCCCGTCCAGATGAGGGTTCAACCAATGTGGAGGACCAGCCGCAACCCTGTGCAGAGGTTTAAAGCGGGTGGTGCCTAGGTCGCCCAAGGCCAACTTAGGGCCTACAGATGTGGCCATTTTGCTGGGCGACTTGGCATTTCAGAGGCTTACACCCCAGCGAAGTCACACAGGGCCTTTGTTTTTTGAAATAGGTTTGGAAGATGATGGTATGTTCTAATGTGGGTAGATCCAACAGTAAACCTGCAATCGGGGACGGTATGATAACCCAACCATCTCTAGTGAGTCATTTTAGCCGTTTTATGGTCTTGGATATACCACAGTATGGATGCAAATCTGACGCTTCTTTGTTGAATTTTGTTGATTTTTGATCGGCACATCATCCGAACCATGCTCGGAAACATCCGCAGGTTTTCCTCAGTCATGGGAACCCCCAAAGTAATCCAAGTTGTTAGTTTTTGACACCGATGGCAAGGAATTCGTCCCAAACAGAAGACGGAATTCCGGCCATTTGTTTTGCCTCCAAAATGAATCGATCCACTCATAGATGTCCTTTTCCCATTGGTTGGTTGATTCATAGAGGGGTTTGTTTACCCTTTTAACAACAGGTTTCTATGATGATAGATGATATACCAGCTCCCGGCCCCTCTATTTTTACCAAAAGGACATTATTGGATCGATAATACCATGGTTTGCAGAGGGGGTGTATTATTGAGGGGTACGGATTAGAACCTGAAGATCTCTCGTGAAATCTCGCGAAAATGGCCAATGTTGCTGCTTAGATCTCTGTTTTTGTTCTATGAATTCCTCATGTTTGCCTAAATCCCCATTGTCGTTGGTTAAAATCAAATTACCATCTGGTTATTTAACATAGCCATGGAAAATCCCTTATAAATGGAGGTTTTAATGGGAAAATCATCTATAAATGGGCCATCTATACCATGGCTATGTTAGTCATAACCAGAGGGTATGTTGCTTAAACTCCCATCTTTGCTGGCTCAAATCCCACTGTTTTCCAGCCAAGAATTGCCCGCCCTGGCCGAGCTTTCCAGTTAGGAGTTCCGAACGGCCTTGCTCGAGCCTTCCGGCGGTCGCTGGCTGATGGTCTTTCCAGTATCTTGGCACGGAGGGAGTTTGGTGGTGGAGCTGATCATCATGCCGTTCCTATGCTTCAAAATAACAACCCGGCAACCCGGCTAAACATCGCAGTTGGGAATCCCCTAAAAAAGATTGAATGGAAACATCATCTACTGCTGGGGGATTGTCCATTGCCATGTTTGATTAGCAGAGGGGAATTGAAATCACCAGCAATATGGGGGTATTTGATATTAGGGAGAAAGGATTAATTTGCTGGATCACCCCAAAATCGAGTTGCTTTTCTTTATTTGACAAATTGCGAACTGGAAGCCATGGCCCATTTAGCTAGAAGATTTATGATGGTTTACCTGATTTCCCAGCAATGATCCAGTGATGTTGAATCAAACTTCAACCCGGGATGATGTTGTAAAAGCAAGTTTATAATTATAGTTGGCTGTCAGGAATTATAGTTTATAATTATAGTTTCTAATTATTGTATAAATGGGAATTCCAATTTTACATCATTCCCAAAATCAATAAACTGAGAATAACTGGGAGTTGCTTAGATTGAGGTTTTTTGATGGTTAACATTTGAAAGGAAATTGGAGGTGGTCGAATTATGTATCTTCCAGTCGGATCAAAATCCCTTGTTTTGGCCAAGAACATCACGCCTGTAAATGGAATCTGGAGGGGTGGAATATGGTGGAAATCCTTGTGTTTTCCTTCATGTTTGTTCACCCCAGCCATACAAGAATCGTACAATGTCAGAAGCTATGGAAGAATCTAGCAATCCTTTAAAATTGTAAAAGGGAGAAAAGTAAAATCTATGTGGTTTTTATGAATCCCTGTCTGCATAAAATGATATAAAATGCCCCACAAAGCCTGGTTTAGTTACTGGATTTCTTCATTTTGAGGGCCCACTTCGCGGTGGATGGAACTTGTCGATGGTGGCCTGGTCCAGGAAACCTCCGAGAAGGCCAAAGCACAGGCGCCCGAAAGATTCGCGGCGGCGGGAAATAGGTTGACTTGATTTCATCTATCTTACCCGGCCTGGTAAACATACCAAAAACTATGGAAAATCACCATTTTCAATAGGAAATTCCACTATTTCTATGGAAAATCCACTATAAACTATGGAAAATCACCATGTTTTAATGGGAAAACTCACTATTTCTATGGCCATGTTCACTAGCTATGTTAAATTACCAGAGGGTAGTTCATATAAATAGATGAATGATTATGATTTGTCAATATGCATTAAATACTTAAATCTTCATAGTTAAATGATACATATAGTAGATTGGATTTCAGTGAATACTGTAGATGCATGATTATGATGGATTTAACTCCCCTATCAAACAGTTATCATCAGCGATTTCTGCCATGCTTTTCGCTACCGACTGGGCCAACTCCACAGAGGTCCTTTGGCAAATCTAATGGCAAATGTCGTGTGATTTTCTGGCTGAACACACGGTCAATTTGTAGCTATACATGGAGCAATCTTGTATGTCAAGAATGATTGCTGGTTGGTGGTTTGGAACAATCTTTTTTTTCCATATATTGGGAATTTCATCATCCAAACTGACGAACTCCATCATTTTTCAGAGGGGTTAGCAGCAACCACCAACCCGATTATCATCCCATTATTAGCCACTATTAAGCCACTATTAACCCATTATTAACCACTATTAACCAGCAAATCCCACAGAGAATGCCATCGATGTTCAGCAGATTTTCCTATGGGATCAGCAGGCATCACTTGTTTGGAGCAAGTTGAAGCTCGGAGCGGCTGGGGCCGGGCAGCCAGGGGGTTGGGGCAAAGGTTGGAAGCTGGGTGCACTTACTGGGTGATAATATGTATATATATATATATTCATTTACCTTTACACATATGTATCTATATATATATACATGTGTGTGTACATATATATATATATAGAGATGCTAACAGTTTCAACAGAAAGCCCAAACAATATGATTTGGCAATCTAAGATATGAATAATAAAGGTTGATGGTCTGATGGTTGGAAAGAAAAATGATTCGAATGAAAAGGTGCTTTGGAGCCGCAGGAAGCGAGATTGAAGTCATGTCAATGTGAATCTAAGCCATGTAAGCGGAGAGGTATGAATCTGGTAGAACATCACAACACCATCACAATAACAGTCATCGTTATCCCACATTGTCATTGATGAAGTTGCTGCTGTCCGTTCCTCCCATTTAAGCCTCAAGACGAAACTGATGGTTCATCAGGGAAATCATCATGAAATTCATGAAGTGACAAGAAGAAAAGAGATTTCCGAAATCATGAATTTGCGCCACAATAAGTAGTAACTATTCGTGATTTGGTCAGAATCAGAACCATCAATCATGAATTATTGTCATTAGACATGGATCGTTGTGATAAAAGCAGTATGCGCAATGCCCAGAAAGATGCAGCTGAGAAGGTGAAGAATTCAACCACCACTTTGGACCACAGTAAAATTACTCTATGGTAAAAATGGATCGTGGTAAAATTATGGTAAAATCCCCATCATCTTTTTGGGTATACTCCCCTTACCACTGTCCATTTTTTGTGGGGGTGGCAGTTATACCAGTTATACCCAAAAAGATTGCAAAAAAAGAAAAAAAAAAAAAAACCAGGCGGCAGCTGAGAAGGGCGCCATTTACATCGGCCACGGCGTCTTGGATTCGTTGCTCAACTACCTGGGCACCTTGGCGACGAGACCGCGGGAGGTCGTGGATTTTTCGTATGAAGCTGTGAAGCATCTACCCTTTGGTTATTTAACCACTAGGAAAATGGTGATTTTCTATGGTTAACCATGGTGAATTTCATGGGATGATATGGGATATTACCATCTGGTTATGACTAACATAGCCATGGTATAGATGGCCCATAGAAATAGATGGTTTACCTATTAATAGCATGGAAATTTTCCATGGCGAACTGTTAAATAACCAGATGGTACGTATTGGGGTAGCCAATTGTGACTCACATACATATGGTGTGAATAGTGATTCAACCATCATTGATGGGATTGTTAACCATCCAAGATGGGAATATATGATATGTCTAATTGATAAATGATGGTTGGTTGTTGATGATGTTGTTGAAATCAGCATCAAACGATGGAGATATCGTTGGGATAGAGTTGATAAATGATGCTTGGCCGATGAGATGATTAGTTTGGATGACATACTACATATACTACCCAATATCATCGAAAATCACACAATCCCTGAACGGGGGGAATCCCGTTCTCAACTAACTAGCCTAAAGGGACGACACGGGGTTTTGAACACTGTTCATGTGGTGCAGCCCATCAATACTGTAGATTGTGATGCCATGGAAAATTGTGATTGAGCTGGGTATGGGTTGAAGCCACCAAGCAGCTTGCTTCACTCTCGAGGTTTGACTGCTGTTTGGATGAAGAACGGCGGCCCCAAAAAGATTGCGAGAGTCAAAACCATCCCCTCAAAAATAGCGAGAAAAACTGGATTTGCCGAAGACCATTTCGTTCCCTTTGCTGCACCATTTGGGAAACCGGGAAACTGTGGCCCCCAAAGGAAAACACCCATCAATACCGACAATTCCTCTCGCATGTTGGTTCAGAATCCTGGAGAAGACAGGGTTCATGGCTGCCATGGCTGCCACATGTTTGCCGGGTTTAGATGTGGATTCATCACCTATCATGCACAATATGCTCACAACCTTGCAAGAATTATCACGATCTCTTTCGCAACCATTATTAACCATTTGTCAAACTGAGGCTATCAGTGTTTAAATCATTATCATTCTGTAATTAATCAATATCATTATATAATTATGATGTCATTAATCATTATCATGCAATCAGTATCATTACAAAATATATAATTATTATAACATCTATCATTAATCATGTTCATTGTCATTATATAGTTATTATATCATTTGTCGTTATCATTATCATCATCATTATACAAATTATTGTATCGCTAGTCATTATTATCATTATCATTATATAATGATTATATCATTCATCATTATCAGTATCTTCTTAAAGTTATATAATTATGTTATCATGAATTATCATGGATCATTGTCATTTTAACTATCATGTAATAATTATTATATCATTAATCATTAATCCTTATCATTATCCTGATCATGTTTATAGTGATTGTATCATTAATCAGATTAATCATTAATCATTAATCATTAGTCATTAGTCATTATCATTTTCATTATCATTATCATTATCGTTATTTAATTATACCTTTAATTATTTAATTAATTAATTAGTTAGTTAATTAATTAATTAGTTAATTAATAATTAGTTAGTTAATTAATTAATTAGTTAATTAATTAATTAACTAATTAATTAATTAACTAACTAATTAATTAATTATTATATCATTAATCATGATCATTATCATTATCATTATTTAAGTTAATATATCATTAATCATTATCATTTTATATATATATATATACATGATATCCATTGCAACCATCCATATTGGCTCGCTTGGGCCTTGCCATGCCTTGCCCCCACATCTTTTCCCATGGCGATCTGGCAAGGCACCTTGTGGGTGGGCAATGCCGGGAAGGTGGTGGAAAAGGTGGTGGAGGCTGCGGGCTTTCATCAGTCGCGTTCGGTCGTCCAGTCACCATTTGGTGCTGGAAAAGTTGAGTGATTTTTGCTGGTGAACTATCCATTTTGTTGGTGGATTCTTAGTGATGTTCGAAAATTCTTGTGACATTATCTGGTTGGTGGTTTGGAACATGAATTTTATTTTCCATTTCATATATGGGATAATCCTTCCCATTAACTAATAGTTTTCAAGATGGTTGAAACCACCAACCAGTTATGACATTGATCTGACTTGAGGGTCTATGGGTGTTCTCCTCGGGTGCGGATGATATGATTTGATCGTCGGACTGCACCAAGGTGTTTTGACATCTCCAGTTTAATGATGTGTGTTTGTATCTACATTATTACCATGTACATAAGACATACATTGTTGCATATATATATATATAATTATATATATATGTAATGTATGTTTATATATATATATATGTTTACTCACCCTGCATAGGCCATGAACGGCCAAGTAGGGTTCCATGCTCAACGCTCAACATTGGTTCCAGGCACTTCAATAAGTTCCATGCACTATCGGCACAATAGGCCGCTAGGAGTCGTGCAGTCGAAGAAGTGGTGATTCTTATGGACCAGGTTATGAAGCTCAACTGGATCCACAAAATGCGCAGCATGTTGAAAAAAAATCAGGATTTCCACCAGAATTCCACTGTTTTTGTTCAGTCAACATGAACCTTGGAGAAACAACCAATAGTTCCACCATCTTCTATTGCCATGATTGTGTTCATCTTCATTCTATCCCTGGCCAAATGATACTATAACTAGACTATAACTACTACAATACAACCATGGTATCCCCAGTCCCCATGGGTTCCTTGGATGTGTAGCCTTCCAAAAGCCCCAACATTTCGCACATGGCGACCATGGACCTCCCGGTCGCGGCTCCGTCGGCGAACGCGTCGAACGCGTCGAACGCGAAGCCGCGGCGCCGGAGAGTATGGTTTCTGGTGCCTTGGAAGCGGACGGAAACTCGGGATACCAACGGTGGAAGGTTTGTCATGTTTATCCCCTGGTAAACATACAAAAAACTATGGAAAGTCACCATTTTAAATGGGAAAATCCACTATTTCTATGGCCATTTTCAATAGCTATTTTGACATAACCAGAGGGTATCCCCTTCTTGAGTTCCAATGAGGTTCAGTGGTTGGCGATATCACCCGAAATCACTGGTCCCTGGCCAAGTCCACAAACTGATTCTTGATGAAAGCAACAAAAACTCCAAGAAACAAGCCCCCCCTGGATTTTTGGTGAATATGATGCCATGGGAAAATCAACATCAACCTCATCGAACAACATCTCCCTTTCTCAAATTACTGGAATGATTTTCCCAGCGAATGTTTGATGACCCTCTGGTAAACTGACCAAAAACGATGGAAAATCACCATGTTTAATGATTTTAATGGGTAAATCCACTATTTCTATCTATTTCGACTGGGCCATTTTCAGTAGCTCAGGTCATAGGACTCATGCTGTTTTTCTGGATCCTTCCCACCATGCGACGCTTCTGCTACCTGTCGCTGGTCTGGACCCCTGCCTTGCTCTGGCGGAGCCCTGGCACGGTGGTCTTCGGATTGAGCCTTGGACCATTGGATGGACCTTGGGAGGAAGTTAGAAATGTGGACCCAAAAACCTGGGAATTCGCTGGTAAAAATTAGGAATGAAGATGAATGAAGCAACCAAACTGGTGATTTATTTTAGTGATTTTTTGTGATTTAGGATATTACTGGTTGTGTTGTCAAACTAGGGTGTATTAACTTATATGTGATTTGGGATATGTGACTAGGGTGGGCATAGTGACTATTTTCACTTTGGGATTCAATAAGTTTACGGCTAGCTGATAGAAACGGAAGCTTAACCATAATAGTGGGTTGGCTTTCTACCAGTGAAATTGGGCGAAAGATGAATACTTATCTGGGTAATTGGGGTTGGTCCGAGAATCTTGTATTTAGTGAGATTTTAATGGGAATAATGGTGAATAGTGGAGATAGAATGTGAGATACAACCAACAATATGATATCTGGGTTTGTTGAAAAATGTGGTACGTTCCCCAAAAGGGTGATGTTAATGTGGAAAATGATCATCAATCACTGGACTTTAGGGGTACCCAATTCTTCAGCAAGCCTGTGTAATTATGTAATGATGATAGTTTATAGGCAGGGAATCGTTCTAAAGTGATAGGTTTAGGAATATCCCAGTAGAAATGCTGGCTTACACATGTGGTACTTCCCCACCATCACACATGTCAGGTCGGTGAATGATACTGCAGCCTGTGAGGTGTCGCAAGTTGTCTAGAAACCGTTTGGACCGCTTGGTGCCATGTGGGGTATACATCACGGTGAATGAGACACGTTAATGTATAAGAGATATCATGTTTCGATGTGCGCGGAAACATGTTGTCAGTTTTCAGCGTAGTGCACATACTGAATGTGCATGCGTGCAGGCGTGCGTACATACATCACATGCAGTACATTGCATCACGTTGCACAATATATATATATATATAGATAGATAGATATTTATATATATATATTATACATACATGCCTTGAGACATTTGAGATGTATGTGTCAGATGTATGTCAGGTGTATTTTTTTTGGTATATGTACAATGTGCCTCCATAGTTTCTGGTTGGTGGTTTGGAACATTTTTCCATATATTGGGAATAGCAATCCCAACTGACGAACTCATATTTTTCAAGATGGTTAAAACCACCAACCAGGTTTGTAACGATGAGTTTTTTTTGAGTGTCCCGAGGCAATGGAGTGGCCCTGTTTTTATCAAGCTTGGGCAGTGGCTCTCGACTCGTCGCGACATCATCCCAAGCCACTTTTTGTTGGCGAAATCCCCCCGGAGTCGGACAGATTTATTGAGGAAATTCTCCAAGCCCTGTTCTGGTTGGTTAATAGTGGTTTTCATAGGCTATAAACCAACAATGGGAATATGATGATATATACTGGTTGGTGGTTTGGAACATGTGTAAAAATATCCCCTTCCTAGTTGGGATGATGATCCAATCTGACGAACTCATATTTTTCAGGGGGGTTGAAACAACCAATTAGTATTTTTTGGAGATGAATTATAGCCACTTTGGGGGGGGTTAAATTGGTTATTTTACTTCTGAATAGTTAGCAAGAGCCCCCCCTTTTTTGTATCTGGGGCAGAGGGGTATGAAAAAGGCACAACAGAATCCAGGGACTTAAAATATGAAATTTTGGGAATTTGACGGACGAAATCTGGGCAAAGATCACAAACTTCACAACGACCTCATTCAAAATTGTGGTTACTAAAGGGAATCATACCAAGCATGGCTTATTCAAGGAAAGAGGCTTACTTCCTTTTCAGGAAGAAAGTCCATAGAAGCCCCCTTTCTGAAGGGTGACCCCAATATGGATGGATTCACTCAATTTCACCGTTTAATTTCTGGGAAGTGGTTATCCTTAACGGATTAAACCTGTCCAAGCAACGTCCCTTCGATAAATGGCTGCTCTAGAGTTCATAAAGTTGTTTCATGACCTCAGAACATCTTGCAAGAACAACAACCCAACTAGGACAAGATCATCTCCAGCAAGATCCGAGAGATGCACTGCCCTGACAGTGATGCATTAGAAGGATGCAGACAGCAGACTGGATTGTAATGATAAAGGGTGATAAAATGTGATAGCAACATTTTTAGAAGCCAAACTCCAGAAGCCCGTTCCAACGGCTAGCTGTGGCACCCCACAGCCTGGCTGGGTCTGAAGTGGGTCACCCCCAGTGATGACCCATTGGCATAAGCCTACCATGTGGGAATGGGTGTTTACCAACCATTTTTGGTTACCTTCCGGATGGTTTGTTGTCGAGTTTATCACATTACCTTAGAACCGATTTCTTAAAAGTTCTGAGTGTACATAACCAAGCCCACCAGGTAATCATCACACATCACCAGCGCATTCTCTAGCCACCAGACAACCAATTCATCAATATTGACCGACTACCGGCCATGGATTCGCCAGGCACCAATAAGTTCTCAAACTCAGAGACCGTCTCATTTTAAATCGTGATTTGGGTACGTATATAGTATATATATATATATTATATATATATATAATAGTTTAGTAATGATTGTGTACATGAAATAATCTCCCAATGGGGATGCTCAGGCAACAATTGGACTTTAGCTGAAGCATCTACCTCGACTTTGGCAGTTCTCCGCCAAGCCACCAAAGTCTCCATAGATTTCGACATGTCACAGGAAACCTCCATGTTCGATGGTAAAACACCTTCAGGTTTCCTGTACATGTTCCCTTAGGTGGATCAACCTACCGGGTAGGTCCTTTATTAGTTTAATATGTTCATTTTGAGCTATCCTCGCCAGCTAAAGTTAAAGGTTTTGGGATGGGCCATGTAAGCTCCATTCAAAGTAATTCTGTTGATCATCAGAGAATCATCAGAAAATACCTCAAAATCATATTATGTTTTCTATAGTTATGTAATTATATACTATATAGTATGTGTATATATATATATATATGTTACCCTCTGGTTATTTAACATAGCCATGCTGCATATTTGCTGGCCACAAGTGCAGTTCAGCTGCACCAAAGTCCTGAAAGTCCCACCTCCCAGGCGATATTTGCGACGCCATGGGCGAACTGCACGAGCACGTGCCCGCCAGCGGCGCCAAGCGGGACGTGAGATGCTCGTCTTATGTGATAGAAAATGATGTGTTAGGGGAGGATGAGGATGAGGATGAGGAGGATGAGGATGAGGATGAGGATGATGATGAGGATGATGATGATGATGGTTAAGCATAGTTAAGCATGGTTAACAATTGTTAATAGTAGCTAATATTGGTTGATATTGGTTTGTATTGGATATTTTACGGGATTTACCCTCCGCCAATCAAACATGGCAATAGGAGAATCCCTATGAATGCAGGTTGTTATGGGAGAATCATTCAATTTTTTATGCTTTTTCAGTTGCCATGTT